TCTGAGATTTTTTTTTTAAAAAACCCATATAAAAGCAGATACTCTCTTTTGTAACATCCTTTTTAGACATTTCTCTTGGCTATTATTTCTAATCAATTTATTAATCAGTTCCTGTTACAAGATTACCAGCCACTGTCCACAGAGGAACCTAATACACACATCCACCAAGTGGACCCCGATGGTAAAAGCCAATTACTCCCTATAACAGACTACGACCCTACACAGCAGGAAGTAGTTTAAGAGACACAGCGCCCTGACTCCCCCTTCACCATCAGCTTCCCCTCCACTTTTTTTCTTCTCTTTATAATAAAAGGGAGGTATGTTGGTATCAGGCTCCGAACCCAGTGACAACACATCTAGGCGGCCCCCACATCGTTGCCAAGGCAACCACCATACACTCCCAGAATCCACCTGACTACCTCACCTTTACCTGGGAGAGGCTACGTCACCACCCATATAAAACAGGCAGAACCCCCTGACCTCGCTCTCTTCCTCCATCTTCTTCTATTTTTCTCCCCCACACCTTTGCCCTATCTCCTGAATAAACTCACCCCCCCAACCGTTTGATCTGGTGTGGTCTATGCTGCTTGCAGATGTCTAACAATAAGGGTCAACTCAATGTGAATTATTTAACAGTACTAAACATTTACAAGCCAAAGAACAGAACTTCAAATCAGATAAAACAAAAATGCAACCAAAGACCCCTCATTGACAGTAAACAAACAAAATTAACAAGAACATAAAAGAACAGAAGTTAAACTTTACATTCTTTTTAACAGGTGCAATAAAGAACTCTTAGCAAGTGGGATTCATGGACCACTAAACAAGATTAAAGGAATAAAATCACACAGATGTTTCCTAACTACAAGGAATTAAAATTTAAAAAAGGTAAAGATCTTTGGAAATTTCTAAATATTTAGACACTAAATAACACACACTTAAATAACTCATGAGTTAAACAACAAAACCCAAGGGAATTATGAGGTGTTTTGAATTGAATGAAAACAAAACACATCAGGATCTGTGGGGATGCAGTACATTAAAATGTCTGTATAGAAAGGGTTTCACGCCAAGGGTTCCAATTCATAGTTTATGGGGAGAAAATAAAGATTAAAGAAAAACAACAAAATTTTTAAATCTGTAACACACAAAATGACAAAAAGAAAATGAAAGCAACCTGAAAAACAAGTTTAAAAATGATAAGACACTACAATAGACCTAACATGTTTACAGGAAATATTCACAATTTCACACAAATAAGTTAATCAATTCTAAAGTCTTAAAAAGAACACAAAACAGCTTATCTAGAAACATAAACAGCCCTAAATCTACTTGTTAACATTGAATTAGCAATAACACGCGCATGCACACAAACACACACACACACACACACACACACACACACCAGTGTCAGTGATATGATTCAATTGATAAACCCACCTGGCAACTTAATTTCTCGCCCCCTCCCCCACCCCATCCCCAAACAGACATACACACACCCCACACTCAAATTGGCTTCACTAGGGAATTGCAACTAATATAATACAAATTCCCTCAGAAAATTAGAGATGATGGAATATTTTTAACATATGCAATTTGATTAGCGTGACCCTTACCACACTGAGAAAGTCAGATCAGTTTAAAGAAGGTTAATTAAGTAGCAACATATACTGAAATAACCCAGGGTCAGACCAATTAAGTGTCTACAGAAACGGACTTCCCTCCAGTATTGCAATTACCTTTCTGCTGGAGGAATTTCATTCCTGACAAAGGGCAAGTAGAGATACTGGGGGGTGAGGGGGTGCCACAGGCCTGATGGTACAGCAGTTGGGTAGGTAGTTAAGGCAGAAGATCAGGAGTTCAAACCAGCCAGGCTAAACAAGACTCAAAACAACAGTTAACAAGGACCTTTCAGAAAAAAACAGAATCAAGTGTTAGCAAAGGTGAACGCAGGTAGGTGTCAAGTCAGAAATTAATGTGGCGGACAGAACTAAAATGGGTGTTGGTGAACTGAAGAGCTGGAGTACATAAATTGTTTGAAGAAAAACTCTAGAAAGGTAGGGTTTGTGTGCAGAGGGTGTGTATGTGCACACGCACATGCCTGCCTGCCTGTGTAACGAACCTCACTCACCACCTCCAGTGGGCATACTGTTATTGTGGCTGATACATTAAACATGGGCATACTGTCAGAAGTGGCTGCTCCAACTTGGATTCCCTGTATGAAGTCATGTGAAAGTGACACATACTGTGGCCTATCTCTGCTATCAGCAAGCTTCCTACAGAGCCTCTCCAGCCCAGCATATGCCGCAAAACCCTTTGGATTATCTGAGAGGAAAGCTAAGACAGGGGCCTCCCTCATGATGGATGGGCCAGCCAAGCCACAATGTCAGACTAAATCCTAAATCTACAGCTTGCCTGCATACCACGAGATACAGGATTAGAGAATGGCTTTTGGGAGTCTGTTCTCTCCTGCCATATAGATCCTGGTGACCAAACTCAGGTCACTGGGCTTCTTGGCATATGCCTGTACCTGCTGAACCATCTCAGCAGCCCTAGTTAATGTCTTTTTAAGGATGTAGTTTTGGCTACTGCTTCATCTGACTTCAGTGGCCTCCCCAAGCAGACTGACTGACCTCACGGAGAACTGTACTCCTCAAAAAAAATCAGAGAAAGCGTTTCACTTGCTGTTCAGACATGGTGGCAATTACCACTACACAAAAGTCTCCAGGAAGCTGATACCATGAACAAAACAGACTCAAAGCAGCTGCCACGTATAATATAACCAAAGGCTTGGGATGCAATGCCTCTATTAGTTAGCACTCATGACGGGATTGCCAAATATACAAAAAAACCTGCCTGGGTAGTCACTTCTGAAGCCTGGAAGAGCAAATCACATTTCAGTTATAAAAAACAAACTATAAAATGCAAATATCTGCCTCAGAAGTTGAAATTACTACTCGACAGTGGAAGGATTTCAAATTTTTCATTTTATTAAAATTTTAGCAACATAATAGCAGCATCATTTGGTACCTCTTTACTAATACCATGTGAAGGCAGTTCTATGCAGACTCACACCTAGAAAGTATCTTTAGGCTTGCATTACCTTTTCTTTTGATGATCAAAATTTCTGTTCTATTAAACTACAAAATTGATCTAAACAGTTACATAGTATATTTAATCTTGTATGAAAGTAAGTTCTCTGAGTTATTTCCCAACCGTGTGTTGCCTGCTGGTACCATTTACTTACAGAATTCTACAATCTCTCAGTGTGAGCTTGATGAATCTGAACTTACATAGTCAGGAATGTCAAATAACAATTAGTCGACAAGACAGACTGTAATTCCATTTCAACCCTGGAATTTAAATGTCATCTCTCCCAAAGTAGCAATTTTCCAAATTAAAATGTTAGCTGACAGTAAACTTAAACATCAGGCAAGATTAAAAACCTACTTTTAAAATACATTGTTATCAGCTGGGCTGCAGTTCAGTGATAGATCACTGTCAGGTGTGAAGTCCTGGTTTTAATCCTTAAAGTAAGGAAAAAAATAAAAGAAATATTAACTATAAACAAATCAATTCCAGAAACTATAAGCATATCTTAGCCTGGAATGTAAACAGTCTGTTACTAAACCTAACCTGAATATGGACCAGAAGCTTTAGTTTTTGACGTATCACTCAGTCCCCAGGTGAAAGAGTACAATAAAAGACAAAAGGAATTGAAAGGCTGACCTACAAATTGAGTAGGAAATTAATTTTATTTTACAAGATTATTTTGTTATATTTTTATTAGATTCTTGCTTCCAGAAATAGGAACAAAGCCCTTTGAAGAGCATTAAATATGGAAATTTGAAAAAATTAAGTGCCTATTAGCAAATAAACATGTGAAAACAGTCAGTGGGGGAAAGATAAACAGTGAACAGTCACTGCATTTATATAGCATGGTCAACTTTATAGCCCACTCAATCAAATCCTTTTTTCCATGGCTCAGAGATGCCCTATGACTCAATGCATGCCTCCAAAAAGACTGATTCTAGCTGCTGACTCAACTAGCGTGAAATCAAACTATTCTCTATCTGTGGTGCATTGTAAACTGAAAATTATTTTAAAGCCAAATAGCGAGCTTCATAACCCTTAAGCTTAAATGATTCCATAGGTTAAGGCAGGTCTAGATAAAAAGTTGCATCTTTTCTGAATTTTAAAATGAAACCACAAAAACAGAAGGATGACAACATTAGTATCTTAAAATTTTTCTTGACCGAAAAAATAATAAACCATCTTGATTACAAACATTGTTTTTTTAATTTGTAATTGAGTATATCAAAATTTAAGCCTCTAACATAAAGATAAATACATAATAGACACTGAATGCATTTAAAGAATAGAATTCTAACCCTGGAGAAGATTACAGGCTGAATAGTGTCTTTTTAGTCCTAGCTAATTAGATTAAGACTGAAAACAGCAACTACAGCGATAGTCAGAAGTTAATTAAAAACCTGCTATGGTCCTTAACTGTAAAGCCACCAGGTTAGTGCTTGTATCAACTCAGTGTGCACACAGAAGCTATCTACAGTATCAGACCCTGTCTAGAAAGAGGAAGAGACTGACCACACTAGCTGTCAGTAGGAGATAGTTCTGGTCTCACCCTGGTTTTTCTGACAGCATCAATCTTAGGTGAAAAACAGTAAAGGAATAAAAACAAAGCACAGGTGTGCCTGCCTCCCCACGTGCCTCACTCCCACACACAGCAGGCCGCATCCCACAGCATCTGACTTCATTTTCTCTTGCCCTGCTCATCTTTTAAAACCATTTTCTACATTAATAATTATTTGAGCAAAATAAATACCTGAATGACAGGTAATTAGAAGTAGGAATTAAAGTCATTTCCACCATGAAAACATTTCAACAAAGAGGAAACGCCCTACCTTTAAGGGGCTGCACAGGCCATGTCGACACCCTCCACATGGCAAACAAAACCAGAGCGGAATGGAAACTGAAGACTCTTTCCGCTAAAATACTCAACTTTATTAGAGAAATGGTACTAAAAAATAACAAAGATTCCAACATTTGCTCTATTCTACTTACATTTCATAAATAAGACAGCGGTTGAAGTGAGACACTCCTTCACAATCTCTCCACAGGTATCCAAGTATTTCTGTATCAGAATAAGCTGTTTATCAGCCAACCGGATGTGGCTAAATGATTAAAATGGCCATCTATACTTTACATAGTAAAGCATTTTCCAAAAGTTTAATGTACACAGTGACAAAAAAGAAAATACAAACATACACACAGTAATTCTGAACACCTGAAGATGATTAAGCAGCTTCATAATCGAACCAGGCTTTATGATTTGCAGAAAGGATCTTTGTCTTAGATTATAGTTTCGACAGTATTGATGTGAAAAAAAGACTCAAGTTGAAACCAAGGAACTAAAGTGCTACTTGGCTTTATAAATCTGTGAAAGTAACTCTTCATGAGGTAAGGCAACTGAGTAATTTGATTGTATTAGGTTCTGTTAAAATAATCACACTTGATTTTCAAATAACCTTTGCAAATTAAAAGTGGGGTTTTGTTTGTTCTGGAAATGTAACAATAACGAATAATAGTGCATTAACTAGAATGTATAGTTTTGGAGAAAACATTAACAGATGCTGTTTTACTACTTGCATACCTTCTGCAAAAAGTGGAGCCTAAGATTGATGGATGACCTTGTCTCTTAAACTTGAGCATATCATTAAACACAAAATTACCTCTCCATATGCTCCTAGTCCTTCCTTTAAGTATAATTTAAGTATAACTGGGAGAAAATGACTGCAAGTTAATATTAAGGCCATCCAATGAAGTCAACGCACAGGTTTCCTCAGATCATGTAAGGGCGTGTCTCCTGTTTAATCATCACAGTATAAAACTGGTGGTCCCCAAGCTACACTGTTGTTTGAACCTCCATACATCTTGTAAACAGGACTTCCTTTTCTTATCTGAATTAAGAAGTGCTTCTGACACACCACTTGAACAGTTCCCAACAGGTGTGAATAGAATACAGCCATATAGATTCCATATGAATTAAGAATGACTAGCACATATAAAATCCTAGAAAACAGTATACCACACATTGTAGAAGGCACTAAAGCTTCAGCTTGTGCTCCAATAGCCCACTTTTGAAAACTCAGTTTTCTTTTAATAAGGGCATCTTTGCCACCTACAGCTGACAAGACACACTGCAATGTTCTTCATGAGCTTGGAAATGTTAAGGAAGTTTAAGAAGAAATGCTCGTTTTATGGCAGACCCAATGATTCTAAACACTGAATGCATTATTAGTATTCAACACAGCTGCTCTTCTTCTGAAGAACAGTAGCATGCATTGTCAGTTGGTTTTTAATCACTTATTTAAGCAATGTTAATCTGTAAAACTGTTTTAAAGAAAAACTGATGTTCAAAACAGTGGGCAAAAGAAAATCCAATAGTGAAGACTTATCACAATCACTGTAATTCCTGTGAAGTAAATGTTAAAACTTCTTACATAATTTGCACTTTACAAGGGTGTATGTATATTTGCACAAATTTCAAGCACATCATCAAACTGTATATATTGAATTTTTTTTTTAAAAAAAGTAAAACAATACAAAATTCAGTAACTAAAGTTATTTTTAAGAGCCTCCACTGCTCATCTCTGTGGATAGTTCCACTCTGGATCTCTGCTTTTCTGGCAAACATTGATGTACCCACCACATGACAAGAGTGGCAGCCACCATGGAAATGCAGACTTCAGAAGATGTTCAGTTTGGGTACCATCTGGTATTTCATGATGCCCATGCTCAGTAACAAGATGTCCACAATGTCACCTCATAGCTGGAAAAGCTTTAGGTACCATATATGGGTTTCTTCCTCCATTTACACCTTGTTTTGGAACTGAAAGCTTTGGATGTGATCCCACCGTGGAGGGGACAGAGTGGCAGGCTACACAGCGTCAGCCTTGCTGCATGGGCTCTCTTCGCTTGGTTGGCAGTTCCCATTGTGCTGTACTTTACTCTCCTCCTCAGTCCTTGGAGAGCCCTTCTCATCTGCATCTTTGCTCACGGCTGAATCTGCCTCTTTACTGTGTTCCTTCTCCTGCAAAAAACATCAAGTACATGTTTACTCTCATGCATGATAACCATCTGTAAGTGTGGCTAGATGATTTAACTGTCTTGTGACTAAAACTGCACTGTCTTCTTTCATTAAAAAAAACATGCAGCATATGCATCAACTTGTCCTCTGCATGCTATTCCCCACAGAAGACGGGCAATTCATGGTAACAAAATCAGAATCCGACAGGTAAACAGAAATTCTAGCTCTTCAAACAAAACAGAAACAAACAAAAAGCCAAAAAGTTTTCTAATACACTACAAGAAATAAATGTGAACCTATACAAAAAGAAGTCACTCTTCTTCCTGGAAAAGCCTTGAAGAGCAGTGCAAATTCTGCCCTCAAGCTACAGAAGCATCAGAGGAGAACAAAGAAGGCCTAAGACAGAATTCACACTCAATACTGCCGATGTCACCGATGATGACAAATCCCATCAGTATCAAAGTTCCAGAATCTTATTTCCAAATAGAATTATACATGACAAGATAGCAAAGAGTGAATAGTCAAATTCACAAGTACTTACAATTTCCAAAAAAAAAAAGCTTTGTTAGGGAGTTTAGTTTTCAATTCTGTCAGGAAATTTGGTTTCAATTATGTATTACATATCAAACCTACTTTTAGCTACATTACAAAACCAATGATAACAAAGTCTTATCAATTTTGCTCAAATGTATGCTGAGAATATTAATACACTTGTTACTCAGAGGTTTTCTAAAATTTTCTCCTTGTATGTGATTTATTGATTCTCCAAAATAAGGAATGAAGCTGTGTAAGTCTTCACTGGTTCTCATCTCTTAAAAAGGCAGTATGCATGAATAGCAATAGTGCACAGGGCACTGCTGCCCCTGGGGAGGCCGGTGCGGGCACTGCACTGACGGCGCTCCTCTCTGGTACAGGCTCTGCCTGAGTGGCTTACCTTAACTGGTGTGTTAGTCTTCTCCACCTTCTCCTTCCCATCTCGGTCACTAGAACTCTTTTTTGTGGAGGTGGAACGTTCTCTTTCTCTCCTGTCACTGATGTGGTCCCGATCTTTTTCTCTCTTTTTATCTTTCTTATTTCGGCTATATTGAAAATGCAAGAGTTATCTTTAAGAATTTGAAGACCTAGTCTCTATACTCTAGACAGGAATGCTTGTCTAACACAGGCTATCCCAAACAATGCAATGTAAACAAGCAGGCCAGTAAACTGGATTGGCAAAGTAACAAAACCAGGTCCTCTAACCTGACCTACTCTACCCTTTGCTTCATTCAGGGTTAAAGTGATTTCAGTAGTAGCCACTACATGTTCCTTTAAGGCACAACTTGGTACTGTCAACTTACTGCTTTTTAAATGCTCAAGATATACTTATATACTGAGATAAGGTTGAGATACAAACTAACTACAGTCAGCCTAAACTGTAATAGCTTCTTATACAGATTTGCCCAACCACATATCAAAAGTATGTAGGAAAATGCTGCACCTAAACACAGACACTGATTTCTAGTAATGGAAACTCTTCCACTGAATCCCTAACCCCTACAGACTTTTTTCTTTTCATAATTTTCTGAATATACCATGTTCTAGTGTATAATGGTTTCATGTGTGGACATTCGAGAGAGAATAAAAAGACCAGCAAGATGGCTTAGTTGACATCAAGCATAATGACCTGAATTTGATCTCTGAGACTTAAATGATTTTTAACAGAATTTTGAAAGAAAGAAAGAAAGAAAGAAAGAAAGAAAGAAAGAAAGAAAGAAAGAAAGAAAGAGAGAAAGAGAGAGAGAGAGAGAGAGAGAGAGAGAAAGAGAGAGAGAGATACAGACGCAGGAGAATAGCTACAGCAAACATTAGAACTTCAAGTAACCCACCTCATCTATTGTTAGAAACAGGAACCAACAATTCAAAGCCAAACCTAAAGCACATGAAATGCACTACTGAATTTTTTTTTAAATCACAAATCCCTAAGGTTACAGGGGGAAATTATGCGTATCATTTGAAAACCATAAATGCTCCTGATCTGGCCAAGATGGCTCTAGCACAGAAATATGAACTGTTCCCTCTTAAGAGCAGTTTAAAAGTAGACCGGAAATTAATGGAAATAATGAGGACAACTATGAAGCAGATCCAAAACCAAATGAAAATCTGTTGCAACAAAGTAACTATTTCAGGTCACTGGGGAAAATGGCAGTTCATAAGAAGTTTGGGGACAACCTCTAATCATTTGACAAGGTGATAAAACAAGACACACATGCCCTTCTAAATAACAGAAACAAACCAAATTGGCTTAGAGACCCAACTTCTTTTTAAATGAAATAACTACATACTAGAAGTAAATATGGTGGATTCTGGGTTAAAAGAAATGTCTAGCCACACCTATAACTCTAAATATATAAAACAAAAAAATTGTAAATTTGTCTGCAAGAAACTTTACAAGGCAAAGCAAAACAAACAAGAGACAAACAGACAAAAAAAAAAACCCTCAAGTGCCTCAAAACAAAGCATCATCGTGTATGCTATATGTCTTTATATATGGTTAAAAATCAAAAGAATGATACAAAGCAGCATCATAAATAATAAAATACAAGGGCCAGAGAGGAGGCTCAGTAGTGAGCATGTAGAAGACTCAAGTTCAGATCCCGGCATCCACACCAGGCAGATCACAGCTGCCTGTCACCCCCCTGCCCTCTTCTGGCCTCTGCACGCATTGTGCTCACATCCACAAACCCACACACAACATATAATTACAAATAAAACAACAATAATATTTTAAAGAAAATACCATCAATTTAACTAAAGATAACAAAAACAAACCACCAATTCCTATACTAACTAGCCCAGCCCAGCAATGAAAGAATGTACAGAGGCACACTAGCAGGCAGGACTGAATGCCGTAGAAAACACCAGCCCAAAACAACACACAAACTCAATGCAATCCCTACAAACACTATTAACATCAGCAGCAACTACACGAAAAAAATCCGTCCTAAAACTTGTATGACACCTTGAAGGCTCTCCATATAACCAAAATGGTTTTTAAAAGAACAAAGTTGAGGCTGGAGAGATGGCACAGCTGTTAAGAGCACTCAATGCACTTTTAGAAGATTCTTGTTTGCTTTCCAGCGCTCACATGGCAGCTCAAAAAACTTCAAGTTCCAGGGACTCTGACATCTTCTTCTCACCTCCATGGGCTCCTATATACACACGTTGTGAAGATAGATACACTCAGGCACGCACACACAAAATAAATAAATATATAAATATTTTTAAAAGAAAAAACATGGTTAAATGACTCACAGTTTTTTATTTCAAAATGACTATAATACTAAAATAACTGAAAACACGGTACTTGCCTAAGGACAAACACATAGGCCTGTGGAAGAGCCTAGAATAAACTCTTGCATACCAGGTCAAATGATTTTCAAGATGGGTTCCAAGAGCAATATTCAGTGACAAAACGGCAGTTTTTAACAGTGATGCTGAGAAAATGTAAAATCCAGACGCCAAGAAATGAAGTTGGAATCCTATCTCTAAGCTTATACAAAATTTATCTCAAAATACATGAAAGGGTTGACTAAAAGGCTCAAAGTAACAGCATGTACTGTGAGATCTGAACCACAAGTTCCATTTCTGGAACCCACATAAAAGTAGGAGAGAACTAATTTCAAAAAGACAACCTTTGACCTCCACACATATGCTGCAGTGCATACATGCCCCTCCACACACACACACTAATAATAAAATTTAAAAAGCAAAAATAGATGAAAAGACATAATAATAGTTCATTACCACAAGTTCAAGGGTCATCTGATCTACTGGTGTGTGAACACCAATGAGACCTGGGAATAGTCACTGACCATGCAAACACACAATAGTATGCCATCCTTTATGTGAAAACAAAATTGGGAAATATCAATTTGCCTAACTTTGTAAAAAGAAACAGACAAAAGCTGAAATAAACAGTGCACAGGAAGAAGGTAGAAGGAAAACAGAGCACTGTCATAGAACTAAAGTCCCAGCCAGCAGCATCAAAAGGAATAGATAGTTCCTCTCACCACTGCGGACACATTTTTTTTGTTTGTTTTATTTTTTTTTAAAGAATTGTTTATTTATTTATTTATTTTATGTATGTGAGTGCACTGTAGCTGTCTTCAGACACACCAGAAGAGGGTATCAGATCTCATTACAGATGGCTGTGAGCCACCATGTGGTTGCTGGGAATTGAACTCATGACCTCTGGAAGAGCAGTCAGTGCTCTTAACCACTGAGCCATGTCTCCAGCCTGACACATTTCTTATAGTGAAGAATGGCAAAAGGTATGACCCCTATCTGTTCCATGCTACTTTTTAATCTTTGGAAACAATTTATATACTTCCTCTTGTAACTATACAAACCTGGGGTGGGGGGGCGCAGGAAGGGAATGTGTCAGCTCCTATTTGAATGAACTGGATGAGCACACAGGTGGAAGCTGATGATTTTAAGAATACAAATATATTTGCCATTCAAAAACTCAAACTTAAAAAACAGGTTGAAGAAGAAATTCTTATTTCCTGCTCCCTCTTTACATTTTACTGGATGCATCCACCTACCCCCTGGGAGAAGGCGACCTAGACGACTTTCTTTTTCCAGTCTTTGATGTTCTTGGCGATCTGGAAGAACTCCTGCTCCTCCTCCTCCGCCTTTCTCTAAAAGACAAACAAAACACTTTCTAAACTCAGCAACTGAAATTAAGGACAGTTCAAACTCTAACGTTTGATTATTTTATTTTTTAATGTCTTTCAGTTTCCTTAGTGTTGAGACTGTAGGCTTGTACTACCAGCCTAGCTTATTTCTATTTTTACAGGAAGAGGGTTAAAAGGGATCCTGGAGATCAGATCCAGGCCCTCCCACATGACAGACAGTGCTGTGCCCCTGAGCCATTCCCTTTCTCCCTTAAGGGCCCATTAAATTCTTTTTAAAGCATATTTTATTACCTGATTTTAGTGTTGATCAAATTATGAACCATACATTTATTGTTGACAAAACCATCATCTAAAATTTCAGGAGAAATTTCATTTGACATACTTTAAATTCTTTTTAATTCTTCAAGTTAGTATACAAAGTGATGGGTTTCACTAGAACAATTTTTCAAATGGAGAAAATATTAAGGATGGTTCAGACTCAAGTATCTTCTCTCTTAGTAACTAAAATCTTTCCCATCATTGTGCTTTGGCTCCTCGTGCATCACTGCAAAGATTTTTCTAACAAAGTAACAAAATCTGGCAAAATTGTAAGATAAGTTAACTTGCTAAGGCTTAGACATGTCAGAATAATAAAAGTGCATTTAAGTAACTTATTGAGAAACTGCTTTCCCCTTTAGATTGCTATCATTACCGCTGTTCCAGTCATTTAAAATTAATGGGCAAACTTACACAAGTAGTTAAAATCTGAAATTCAGATAAGGAAATAATTAGTAAAAAGGAAAAAAATTAACATTAACAGATAATACATATTCTAAACTATATCATATTTAAGAGTGACTAACTTAGAATCAGTGAACTTCACCACATCCACAACTCAAGGGATGAGGTATGAAGACATAATGATTAGTATAGCAAATAATCTTATAAGAGAAGTTCTGATAAGGGCTGGGGGCGATTGCTCAGCAGATAAAGTATTTGCTGGCCAAACATCTATGGAAAAGGCCAGGCAGAGTGGCACATACCTGCAGTCCTGCACCAAGAGGCAGAAAGAGGAGGATATGGGAGACTTGCTAGCCAGCCTAGGCAGTCAATGAGTCTCAGGTTCAGTGAGACCTTGTCTCAAAGAATGACAGAACAAGACAGAGACTGACCTCTAATCGTAATGTATGCAAACGTAAATGCACACACATCCTCCTCACAAGAGGAGCGGCTCTCAGAACCACACTGACCACACAACCAAAATATCAATCTTCTGAAATTCAAGTTCTCCTAACTACTGCTTTTCATTTTCTTTCATAAAACAAAGAAAACCCAAAGCCAATACTCCAGACTTCCGGGCTGAGTTGGGCCTAGAGGATAACACCAGTAATGTATCAACAACAGAGCCTAGCACACAGCAGGTGCTCAATTAATAAAGATTCTTTTTTTTTTTTTTTTTTTTTTGGTGGGGAGCAAAAACAGAATATTGGAGAAATCAAACCCTATTCACACATGGTAGAAAAGCACTGAGTAATACTCTCTGCCTTTCCTCCCCTTTCATAATAATAATTTTTAAGCATTCAACATTTCTTAAGTATCAAATCTTTCTTTGAAAATGCAGATTAAAAGACAATGTTGAAAATAAAAGCATGAAGTAGATTTTTTTGAGCAGTTAGAATGTTTCCCACTCAATGAGCAAATTGGAGCATTAGAAAAGGAGGGGCCTACTAAAGCGTAACAGACTGTAGCTATTGCTGAACTGACAGAACTCTCAATCAATGTATGCATACATAGTCCTTCACTAACTAACTCTTCCCAGCTCACTTGGTCTCTAGGTCCCAGAGTTTAAGAATATGTTCAGGATTGAATCTGAACCTTTTAATTCCCTTAAACATAAAAGAAGCCAGGCATTGTGGTGCACACCTTTAATCCAAGTATTTAGGAAAGTCACATGATCTTTCTGAGTTTGAAGCCAGCTAGGTCTACTGAGAGCCACAGAGACCCTGTGTCAAACAGAGCAAGAGCATGAACAAGAGAGAGTAAGCGAGCAAGCAAGCCAGCAAGAGAGACAGAGACAGAAACAGAGACAGGGAGAAAAGAAAGAATGAGCACACAATGGAAGAAAGCCAACAAACATCTCAGAGTCACTGGAAAAAATAAGCTTATGTTACTAATTGAAAATGATTCAAATCATTTGATGCTGTGAAGCAGAATACTGGATGGCACGATAACATGAAGGCACTCACAACATGACCAAAACAATCACTTGCAAACAGGGTGCGGTCACAGGTTAGGCTGATGCCCACAGAAAAGACTGTTTAAGCTTGCTTCAATGTCTCTGTTGAGCCTGCTGTGACCTGTGTTACTGTTTTCAACTTCACGGTTCTGAGCCAGTTTTAACTACCACAGTCTAACAGTCTCACAACCTTGCTGGAAGGAGTTAATAAGGTGATAGATTCAAGTCAACTAAGAACTAGATTTTGCCTGTTATATCAGCACCCAATGAATACTACAATTAGCTTTATTGTATTTTAATAGGCTAGTGTGAAAAACAAGCTGTAAAATAACATTTTTCAAACTAGGAATTCATTTATCAACTTGTATGCAATGAAATACCAACTTTAGAATTTATCGAAACATTTATTTTTAAATGTTTTAAAAAGACTAGGCTTAACTTATCATCATAGAATCATCTGGAATAAGGGATAAAGGGTTTAAACAACTTTGAGGAAGATTGTCATTTTGTAGTTGCTGCTATAGCAACATGCTGCCACCTGGTGGCGGTATATCTATTATTAAGTGGAAAAAATAGTCCTAAGAGGAAAAGCTCTAATGTTTAAAACTAACAAAGGAGAATAATACTTAAACATCATACGTAAAGCATAATGGAAGTTAAAGTTAACTTAGTTGACAGACAGGAATCACACTATGACTTTGGAAATCACGTAATACGCTAAGATTTACCACACCACTCCAGAGAGACAACAAAGTCTCAAAGGTTAACTATCACACAAGAACTTTTACATAGGCATTTTAAAAACATTTTCCCCATCATATAACTTTCTCTAAGAAAAATAGTAAGTAAAAATTAACCACACTTAAATATTGCATTATGAAAGACAGTTAAGTGTGTCCAAATATTTCGTCCAGAAGGTTCAATGATGTAGTAATCCCTCTGCTGGAGAAAAGTTCACTTGGTAATTAAGGGCAAATGTTACTAACTACTATGCTTGCAGAGAGTATTCTTTCCCCCTCAGTTACAAATGTGCCCATCAGTCACTCTTGGCTACAGTTTAAGCAAGGTGCAGTGATAGCTCAGTCAGTTTGTCATGCAAGCATGAGACCCCGAGTTCTGCCTCCAGAACCCATGTGAAAAAGCACAACACATGATTAACAGAAACAGACTTGGTAGCATGCATCTTTAATGCCAGTACCGACGAGGTAGAGACAAGCAGACCCCCAGGGCTAACTGGCCCATCACCCTAGCCTACTGTGCCTTGGCCAACGAAGCACACACGTCCAATGTTAGCCTATGACCTCCACACACCAGCACCCACAGGCATGTGCACCCACAGGCATGTGCACCGGCACGCACACACAGAACTTATGGATCACCAAACCTGCTGGGACTACGAGACCGTCGGGACGCATTGTAACTTCGGGGTGGTGTTCTGGACTTCTTCTCCTTCTTCCGTTTTTCATCTGTCTCTTTGGATCTGTCTTTTTCCCGCTCCTTGTCTTTTTCTTGTTCCTTCTCCTTCTCTTTGTCTCTCTCCTTCTCATGGTCCTTTTCTTTCTCGCGGTCTTTATCTTTGTTTTTACCCCGTTCCTTGTCTTTTTCACGCTCCTTTTCCTTCTCTCTCTCCCTTTCCCTCTCTCTCTCCTTCACTCTTTCCTTTACCTTTTCTCGGGTATCTTTTCTCTTGTCCCTTAAAAAAAACAAATTTTTGGCTAAAATCATTCTCTCTCAAAAAGAAGAGATCTCTCTTTTTGCACAATTATCAATAAAAATCAGCTGCATTGACTACAGACATTAGAAATTTCTGACTAATTCAGGTGTGTACCTGAGGTGCTAAGTGGAACAATCGGCAGGCTGAGCTGAACCACACTGGCCATATTTGCATCGGAGATAATCAATAGTAATCTTAGACACTAAAGCAATGAGAAAGCCTTATTTCTAATAAATCTGAACCACAATTTCACATGAGTGGAAACAGTGATAAAATTTAAACTCTCACCGTGACCGCGACCGGCTCCTTGACTTCCGCCTCTCCCTAGACTTAGAGCGTTTCTTATGTGGGCTCTTGGATCTACGCCTATCTTTCTGTCTTGAACGTGACCTGTTATGGGATCTACTCCTAAAGAAAAATAAATTGTAAAGATATCAAAACTTCTACAATTTCAACTCCAAAAAAAGCTAAGAATTCTTATACTCAAATAAGTTCACTTAGAAAACATATCCTATTTATTAATATCTTAAATGACCATTGTATAATGTTCTCATTATAATAGCAAAATTAAATTACTAGAAAGATTATCAACTATATTATATTGTGTAGAACATAAAACAAAAATAATATAATAGTTATTTTCTCTGTCAGAGTATTGTCAGAGATAGCTCTCCTTTTCATCAGAACACCACATGCCTCAAATCTGCAGACTATCCCCTTGGTCCGAGTCTTCACATCACAGATTGTCTCTAACTCCTGGTTTCCTTTTAAGCTAGCTGTGATTCATCCTGAGGAGAGCAGGTATATACTTCAACAATTTCTATAAGTGTCCATGCACAGTTTATCATAACAAATATTAGGAAGAAAGTAATAAAGTTGTCAAAGAACACTTTCATAAAAAATATTTTAATAGTATATGGATACTATGGGATAGTACTAATGACAGCGATAACTTAATAAAAGAAGCATGAGAAATCAGAGATGTAAACGTCAGATGTGACATCTTGATCTTATAACTCTAATTAACTGGGTATATTTTTAGTGTTATTTTTTCATGATAAAATATCCTAGGCACTATTTACAAAAATATAAAATAGGGTTGCCAATGTAGCTCAGTGGAAGTCTGTAGAAGATGCAATGCTCTGGATTTGATTCCCAATACAGTAAAAGGACGAATTTCCCTAAAGTGTAGCAGAACACATGTACACAGCTTAAATATGGAAGTGGTGAGGTGTTGAGTCTGACAGTGTGGATCCAAAAGGCACTTCTGCCACAGTGACTGTGAGCTCTGAGCTCTGGCTAAGTCCCTGTTTCCTACTAGAAAGAAGTCCATGCTCCTCCGCAGTCGGAATCCCATCTACACTTTCCAAGATTATCATGAGGACTCAATCAGATGATGTTTGCAAAATACTTTGTAGCCCCTGGCAGAGTAAATGTTTAAATTAGCATACAGGTAACTTTCATTGTTCTCCCAAAGAGGCCAGGGATATGTAAGCTTTCCACAGTATGCTTTATACACACAAAACTCGTCATCATGGTTGTGGTTTTGTATATGTGGGCAATGTGAGTACCAAAGTATGTGTGAAGGTAAGACAACAACTTGTAGGGTGGGTTCTTGCCTTCTAACATGTGGGTTGAATTCAGGTTCCAGGCTTGGTGGAAATAATCTTTACCTGCTGAGCTGTCTCACTAGCCCTACAGATAGTCATGTCTTAATAAAATAAATTAGAACAAATCCTACAAAAAAGGATTTTTAAAAAAAGACTGAGGTGGGCTTTGAGTCAGAAGCATCCCTAAGCTACCCCCAACTGCTAATAAAATCTTACTAGCAAGTACATTTTCACTATCCAAAATTTGTTTATATAGCTCATTTTAAACTGTCTAAAAATTATTTTCAAATTAAATGACAAATAGCAACTTACCGTTACACTGTACCAAAGCTCAACTGTACATCAATTCTTTACATTCAAACACTATTTCATAAATTCCTAATCTGATCTATCAAGTTTATGCAACCTAAAATACAATAATCATAGAACTGTCCTTCTTTCCCAACACTAACTCTGTGAATAAAACAAATAGCAAAATCTGGGCAAAGCAGAAGTATACTCCTCAAATCCTATCCAAGGACAGTCCCTCCTTTCTCCCTCTTACCATCAAAGGAGAGGCGAAAGAAGGGAGAGGGATGGTGGACGCCAATGTCACCACTCCCTTCTTAATGAACACGCATACGAAGCCTATCTACTTATAGGGTCCACTGAAAACTGCATACATGTACGCAAAGTGTAGTGATCAAAGTCAGTGGGACCCAACGCCCTTCTCCTTAAGCATGTGATATTTATGAACAGCAGATTTTGAACTCCTCTCTTCTAGTTCTAAAATATATGACAAATTGCTGCAAACTATAAGCATCCTATATGTTGCAGCAAGTGAAAACTTATTTTGTTTAATATGTGTACTCTGGCACCCATTATCCAATCTCTTCTGCTCCCTGAGAATTGACTGGAACTCAACTTTTAAAACTTTCATGGAAACAGTTTTCTGCCTGAGAGGGAAATTCTAGAAACATGTGACATTATAATCTACATTGCCCTACTAGGTCAGCTGGGGAGCAGGGTAAAGTGTAGGAAGACTCTTTCAGGTCAAAACCCTCAAGTCTTATGTCTTTTTTGTTTTGTTTTGGTTTGGTTTGGTTTTTTGAGACAGGGTTTCTCTGTGTAGCCCTGGCTGTCCTGGCACTCACTCTGTAGACCAGGCTGGCCTCGAACTCAGAAATCCGACTGCCTCTGCCTCCCAAGTGCTGGGATTAAAGGCGTGCGCCACCACTGCCCCGAAAGTCTTTAATGAAAGATTTCCATGCCTGTATTTTAGAGATAACTCACTTTCTCTTGTCCTCAGCCTACATGTATTTCAATATGCATGTGTAAAGGATACTGATCTGTATATTTGTGTATGTACATGCATGCCAGGAGCCACTAATTTCTAATTTGAGCCCCTGATACAGCTATATGAAAATACATCCACTAATAATAAGAACTGACAAATTTTAAACTCTTAAAGGAAGAAAACTACATAAACTCAAAGACTTTAAGAATGGGCAGTAGATAAAGTAGGTAACTCAGTTATTGTCTTAATTTTTAAAAGCATGTAAACTTTCATATATTATCAAAGAAACCACTGTTAATGGACAAATTTTAGTTTTTCTCAGCCTAAAAGCTTGGTTGTCCTTTACAGCCACTCAAACCAAGACTCAGGAAACCAGTCTTTATTACTCTTGGGCACTCTTCACTGTCCTGTCAACATGTGGCAATCCATCCATCCATCCATCCATCCATCCATCCATCCATCCACCCACCCTGGTCTTTATACTGCTTTATCTGTTCTACTTTGTGCTCTAACCTTGGTCCTACTGCACTTATATTCTGAGTGATTTTGAGACAATGTCTTGCTATGTAGGTTTGGCTGATTCATATTTACTATGTATAGTATGATTAAACTTGACAGACCTGATTTTGAGCTTGCCAAACTAAGAGTTTTGTTAGAGACACCAAAAATCCCCAAAGAAGATTTTGTTAACTATCTACGGACCATATCATTAAAGGGGGCTAGAAGTATAGTTTACAAAAGTCAAAGAAAAACCTATTTCCCTATCTCAGACTCTCCTTGACCATCTACAGAAAAAGTAGACTGGTGGTCCTTGTGAGGCTTCCCTTGAGTCCTCCCCCTTTAGTCCTCACAGCTTACACATGCATGCACACATCTGTGTCATTCTATCAAGACAGTGACTCAACATGCAACACGGACTCACTACACTTCAGCCATGATTCTCAAGGGCGTTCCAATCAAATCAGGACATGCTGCCATTTACACTCTGAGGTAATCCTTTGCACCAAACACAAAGCAATTACATAGAAAGGGAAAAAAAACTGAAATTATGATCAAAAATAGGACAAAAAGAACAGCACTAGTGCTTGGGCCAGAGGGAGGCCTGAGAGGACTGCAGCCTGAGCACTGTGGTCAGCATTAGCGTTTCTCAGACTAGAATCCAATACTCTCTGCCACATGTGTGGGAAAGGCTAGTTGGGGGGAAAAAATCAAGTATAAAACACATGCAAATAGAAAACATTTTTAAAACTAAAGATTATTGAAAATATTAAAATTATCAATTTGAAGAAAAAAACTGCTTTCTTTCGAGCACACAGGAGAGAAATAGGCTGGGAAGTACAGGTATAGCCCAAACTGCAATGTTTTCATCAGAGCAATAGTTTTTAACCATAAACACACCTAACAGGTAAGCAAACATGAATGAGATTTCTGAGTTCTCATACTTTGACTTCTTAATTATTTGAAATACAAAACTGAGAACATTGAGCATTGATAGCAGAGTCTCACCTGTGCTTTGACTGTGATCTCTTCCTTCTAGAATGGGATTTTGAGCTAGACCTGGACTTTGAGCGAGTGTGGGAACGAGATCGACCGCCTTTCCTCTCATTGCTCTTTCCAGACTCTGGGAGGAAAAAACCACTTTGCAGCGTAAGCTCAGAACAATTAAAGATCCCAGTTAATAATTAGGCACAAGTGGAATATACCACATATAGTGCAAGGGGCCTACTCTCTGTACATCCTCCTCCTGTGCAATTATCCTTCAGAAACATCCAAGAAAGTCATTGCATAAACTCGTTGAGTGCAGCCACCCTGCAGCAGTACATATAAACCAGATGATTATAAACAGCTGTTCGTAGTAGTTTGTTGCTGCCATAACGTAAGATTAAACATGTCTGCAATTCCTATGACAGTGAGGCTACAACCTTCCTGCATTTATTTTGTTAGAATTGAACCTAAATTCCAAGGAAATTAAGTTAGGAAATCTAATGAGAGATAAATCACATAGACATTTTAGAATGGAGTTTAAAGTATTTAGCAACACAAAAATTTGAGTAAGTTTCCCTTTAATCTGGCAAAACTATTTGTTTTTTTCTAAATTAGATGCCCTTTCTCTTGTCATAAATTAAAACTTTGAGGGAAAGGCAACCTGCCTACATTTAACATTTTAAATATTTATTCTTTCCTCTTTAGCCTCACAGAAACATACACACTCTGCTTTCAGTAAACCAAGCTTGACACTGACTTGTTTCCATCGAGAACACTCACTGACTACGGCTAAAGTGCATCAGTTCAGTGTTAGGGCAGAGCTGGTCTGTACTGAGTTGTCCTGAGTAAGCCACTTACTATGTCTTGAGTCTCAGTCTTCTGATCTGTACAATGAGAGAGCTGAGCAGTGTAAGCCTACAATTCCTTGCACTTCTAAGAGTCTGTGGTCTTTAGACTATGTCCTATACAACAACACTGTGGCCTTACCTGGTTCAATGGCTGCTGAGATAAATGACTGAGCCTCCCGTACTCGCTTCATTACTTCTTCTAACTCCTTAGCTGCAGCCTGAGGTGTCATCTCAGGAGGTTTTACTATTGCATTGTTGGAGTGATTTATTCTAAATTAAAAATATTAGTATATCACAAACACACACCATAGTTTATAAAGCATGAAACAATTAAATGTTAGTATGCAATACTTGTTTATAAATTTGAGGATATCTCAACAGCATATAAGGAAATAAAAATAGCTAAATACAGAATAGTCAAAAGTAACCTTAGAAACAAATGATTAATCTCTCATCTCCACCTACCACCATTTTTTGCTAAACAAAGAAACAAAAGCAAGAAAAACTGAAGTCTACCTTACTTCTTCCACAACTAAATAGACCATTACAAGTTTACAAGTGCCTTTGCACATACCTTAGAGAAAAAAACAATGACAATGCTGGTAATTAAGATTAAAATGGACCACTTGTACTCTTAATTACATTGTGTTAATAATATCCTACCTATCCCAGCAAGATGAAGAGGACGCTGACTACATGGCCTCTTATTCAACACTGTCTCTGTCTGAGTCAGAAGTGAAGAGTATCTGGTAAACCTCCCTGATTAGGCAAAGTGGCTTCTGTGACACACACAGACACGCCTGCGCTGTCTATCTTACACATTCCACACAGAAGACTGAGCACCCAGTAACAACAGTGACTGATCATTAAGAGTAAAACCCAAAACTGTTCATTAAGAGATCCACCTACAAAACTCCAAACCACATTCAACTTAATAATCTGCATAAATTACAATTTCTGGACTTGAGTATTTGAAAGGTCATATGAATTTTGTGCAAACAAGGATGGCCATGAGCAGATAAACTCACAGTATCTGATTTAAAACACTTCTAAATACTTAACACTATTTTCTTCCTAGGATTTGGAACTTACCCAAATTCTTATTATAAGCAATTCTGCAGTTCAATTACAAGTTAAGCTGCCCTTAATTTGCAACCAACACAAAACAAACCTGACTTATAGAACCGTACAGAGACATGCCTGAAGCCACTATGTATCATATGCAAACAATTAACAGTCAACTACATATTAAACAAGAAAAGAGAAACAGGTCTGAAGGTTACAGTGTCATGCATTTCACTTATACTTAACAGTCTTCCTTTCCACAAATTGCCAATTACTATTTTTTTAAAAAGCCTTAATTAAAGCAAATACTTTACAGCTTTTTCTAAGTCATTATAATTTCTTTGTTGAAGATTTCTTACTTCAGTGGCCTGTCTCCAAACATAACTCCATTAAAAGCAAGGGCCCTTGGTACAGAATTTTGGTCTGCAAATTCCACAAAAGCAAACCGAGTTGGCTGAGTCTCATCACCTGCCATCCGAACAAACTTCACTTCTCCAACTTGTTTAAAAAATTCAAGTAGTTGATCAGCTGTCGTTGTCTGAGGAAGCAGAGTGACACTTTAATACAATATATATACTTTGTTTCTCTTTTTAAATCAGGTTAAGTAAAGCAGTTAATGCTTGCGGGGGAGGGGTCTATTTCCTTTAGTGATGAAGCGGCTGGCAAGGTCCCCATGCTCCTGTCAATAACCCTTACCTATGCTTCTCATATCCAATCCCCATTAAACTTATTGGGTCCCAAGAAAGACATGAAAGTAGAAGAGAGCTAGCTGGGAGGCGAACGGGGATCAACGGAGTGGGAAGGGCACCGGGAGCAAGGGGGGAAATGAATATGATCAAAATACGTGTGCAAATATAACAACGAAACCCACGATGTAATATATGCTATTAACCAGAAGATTTAAAAACAAGTAAATAATACTTTATCAGTAGAATTTTTAAGAATAAGCAGCTACCACCTCCCAGTTTCTTCTTAGTTACCTGTGAATTCAAATTTCCAACATAAACTGTTCTCCTAATTTCATCAATTTTGGAAGGATCCACATTTCCCATAAGTGGTGGCTGTGGGATCTCTCCCAGTGTTGTAATATTTGGGTCCAGTGCTGCTGCCGGTATGGCTCCCAAACTGCTAAGTGAAACACCAAGCTAAAAAAAAAACAACCAAAAAACAAAAAAGTAAACTATGAGGTAGTTTTCATTGGTGTTCAAAGCACTGTTCTCTAATCTTGCTGCCAGCAGATCAACTCAGCGTGAACGGAAGGAGAAAGGGGACTCCTTGCTTTAAGCTACATGTATCTGAACATTAGGTTTTAAGATAACACACATTTTTTTAATTGCCTGGGTATTTACCTTCCTTTAAACTGAAACTAAAAATGAACAGTACTTTTCAGTGTTCAGTGTAGTTTTATTCTGTGATCACCATAAACACATTACCGTACACTGGGTCAACACCTCAGAAAGAAGGGAGGTTAAGTTCCTAGGAGCCTGTCGTGACAATATCGCTGTCCATCAAGCATCCAGTACAGAACTTTCTTGAGTCTTTCTGTCTGATGGTCCCTCAGTTAATATATGCTGATTCATCAACACTGAATACATGGCCAACAAAAAAACAAATGAAACTTTTCTATATTTTCATCACAATGACTAAGTTTTTTTTTAAGCACTGTGTGTGGGAAACTATCTGTGGGAAACTATCTAAAGAGCAAATCACACACAAAAACAGAATTCCAAAGAATACAGCACTAAACACACTACACTCACACTTGTGTGCAGAATGAAACACAGCAAAAGATGCTTGGCTCCATCTGGAAATACGAACATCGTGAGACTCAAGTTCATCATCACTCTAGAGTACGTGACCACTGCAGCTGCAGAGAGTGATTTGGAAGTTTCAAAGCCTTTTACTAAGTGAATGAATTTGCAAATAAGAATTTGCAACTGATACCTGTATTTTGGTCATTCAAAAACACCAACTGGGAGAGTTTGTAATCATTACTGCAGTATTTGAGTTATTAATTATTAATTAATTATTAATTTAATCCTTTGTTATCAGCACTAAGACAGTGGCATTACAGAATCCAATTTTTAAAATGTTTAAAAATTTAAGGCAGAAATGGTGGCAAACGACTGTAATCTCCACACATCAGAAGCAAGCAGACCAAGAAGAGTTCAAGGTTATTTTCTCAGCTACAGAGCTGAAAGGAAGCATAGGCTATGAGACCCTGACTCAATACAAGACCAAGAGGGAGGGAGGGAGGTATCTTAATGAAATTAAATGATCTGTTCAAAGTTACCAAGTGGTAATGCCAGGCATCAACATGAACAAAATAAAGCTGAAATAGACAAAAGTTCAAGAAAAATCTGGAATGGTAAGCTATTTTTTTATTTGACAATAGAAGGAAAAAAAAAACCAAAACTACAGAATTATCTTTTCTTAAAATTTTAAATTTATGTTTCAGTCTCCCAGGTGCCTGCAGAGACTGAAAGAGGGCACAGTGTACCCTAGACGTGCAGTTCCAGAAGATTGTAAGCCACCTCACAGAGGTGCTGAGAACCAAACCCAGCTCCTAGGCAAGAGCAAGTGCTCTCAACTGCTGAAGCATGTCTCTGGGCCCCTTTGGATAAGCTTTCTAGAACATTAGTAAAGTCAGTGTTAGAACACATATTGGGAGACACGTTCATCTTAAAGTATACTTAAAGAAACAGAAGTTCTCAAGATTTTAAAACATGTTCTGCATTTGGCAGAAGGAACAAAAAGGTTTTTAAAGAAAATGATACAATCATTTCCATTTCTACTCATGCTACTCCATAAAACTGATCACTGACAATAGTTTGTAGATGACTAAAATTTAACAACTGTTAAATGACAGCAGCTTCTAAAGATGAAAAAACAAGTTTACAAAACCACTGTCCCTTACTCGTCATAGTGGCTAGTCTAGCCTTGTTTAGAAACATGTGAGGTCATGTAGCTTTTAATCAACTTAAAAATAAAATTCAAACACTTTTCTATGCTGTAAAAAACACTACCAGGCCAGTGTCCTACCCACTCTCAAGCTCCTACTTCTCCCCCTTCGCTCTGTTCCAGCCAAACTGAGCAGCACTAGTTCCTCAAGCCCAGACGTTCAATTAAAAATCATCTTGTTCCATGGTCTCCCAAGCAGAATGCTGTACAAGATCCAAAGTTTCAGAAGCCTCTTCTATAAACTGACCACCACAATCATGAAGTTTGCACATACCCTATGAAACACTAGCAAGTTAAGAAGTCACAGTCCTTACCTGACAAATGGCCCTCCTTTAAATGAAGTATGACCAGAATCCTTCTCACACAAAAACCAAAAGCCCAGTAATGGTTATAGCTTTCTTTCACTGAGAAATCACAAGATATTAATTACTGTTTCATTCTAAACAGCAAAAATGTAAGGATTCTGTCATATTTTTACCTTGTTCCAGCTTCTCAGTCATCTCTAAAATGCTTTTTCCATTACCAAAGTTCACTAGTCCTCCTGATCCTCATGAACTGGGAAGTGATCTTGGGCCTCCAAGTCTATGTTATCAAAAGCACTGAGTTTCCTATCTGAATTTTCAAATGTGAACAAGCCCCCAATTATTTCAAAATAATTCTCAAAGCAATGTCAATTGAGATGATGTGGGGTAAGTTTTAAGTATGGATTTTGAATAGTTGCCACCAGACAAAACAAAGTAAAACTCCTTTCTTACTCCTTACTCAATCTACTGCACAGGTCAGTGCCCACACCATCAAGACGACTTACACTGCTCACTGCCGTCAGGGGACTGGAGGTCGGGATGGGAAGCAACCCTGCACCAGGCACTAGGCTTGTCATTGTTGGAGCAGGAGCCAGTAAAGAAAGGGCTTTGGCTTCTTCTGGGATTTTACCTGCAGAGGCAAGTTGCAAATATTACGGAAAGCAGAAACACCACACCAACTTTACACTATGATTTTACAATTACCCTTGCACTTAAAAAATAATAATAATAAATGAATCTATCTATCAGATCCGTACAAAGAAACAAATAAGAACATAAGGCTCTCCTTTTATCCTGCTCTATTAGGAAAAATAAAAGTGAGCAAAACTTCAAAGACTAACAATCTCATTAATGGAACATTAGTTTAAAAACTGAATAATGTAGACAATTATTTAACACTTTGAGCTATGGGTCACCTGTACTGGAAACTTAATGTTCATGAACCAAACGATATCAAGCATGGACGCTTTCCCAGGACGCTGTTTTCGCGGTGATCGAAAGTTGTGTTACACATGACAACCGTTCGTGTTGGCTGCGTCACTAATAGCACACAGAACATCAGATACAGAAAAGAAGAACATTTTTTAAAGTTTAATCCCCAGAAATGGCAAATAACCAAATTAGTCAAAAAAAAGAAAAGAAAAGAAAAAGAAAAAAAAAAAAACAAATATGTGCGAATTGAAATTTGCTCCATAATGAGTGTCTCTACCCTGTTACTGAAGCTACCTACTTGAGAAGCAAACAATTCTGATAACCCTCCAAAAGACTACTCAAGCTCAAATAAACAGAAGAAAACAGAAAACTTGAACACATAATCAGCTTGAATTTAAAAAGGTCCATTACCCCATTCATCAATAAGGCACCTCACCAACTAATACCTAGAGAGACTCCAATCCCAAAGATACCTTGACAATTGATAAAAAAAAAAAAAAAAAAAAAAATTAGGGACTGAACCAACAAAAACGTCCCTAGTTTCAGCAAACTTCTTAAAATCCTAACTTTAGATGCAGTGTATGTATACTTATCTGAGAGCAGTAACTAATGCTTATAAATGCTTTTCTCATGAAGCCTGTAATTGTCTAACAGGAGTAACATTAAAATCACATTTTAGTAATAGTAAAACCATTAAGAAAAATGCCGGCAACTTAAAAAACAAAAACTTTATATTGAAGTACATGATCTGCCATATTTGGTTTCTGAATTTAAAACAATTTGACAAAAACTAAAACTTCCACATTTTTCCTATCTTCAAGGCAAAAAAAGGGGTGGGTATATTTCTCACACTAGATTGCATATATAAATTACATTTCTACTAATTCATTAAGAGTGTCTTAAAACTGCATTTTCAAAAAATCACACAAGCTGAAATCTATGTGGTAAATTTTCAAAAGCATTACACCTCATTCAGTGGTAAAGCCTATTTACAACAACAAGATGCACAGAGATAAATGTCTAAACAATCTCTCCTGAAAGACCTCAAAGCATGGATGGAATTCAAGTTGTAATTTAAAACTTTAGATAATGGTTTTAGCTTATCTATAGAAAAAATTAGAATTAACAGTTTAGTGGCTTTAGCAAATGCATACTTTCTAATTTTACAGCATCTAAATTTAACTAGTTTAAAAAGTGAGAGTATTACTTTAAATTCTGGAGAACAAAATTCTTAACATGCAGAATGATAACAAGGTAAGCCTTTCTGAATATATAAAAGAACAATGAACTACTAGTACTACTACTTATCTATACAGCCCATCTACATACTATGCTACTTATATTAGTTATCACATTCATTTCATCTATTAAACATTCAGAGTTACTTTTTAAGGTTTAAAACCTGAACACCTTTGCTGACTGGATGCCATCCTGAGGTATGCACTCTCTGCTTCAGTACCCTAGTTTATTCATCTGAGTTGCAATCTAGTAATGTGCCAAATTTAGTATTATTTGTCAATAAGCAAACCCAGCTGTCTATACAGTATAGAGACTACACAGACAATAGGGTATTCAACATGAACCACGCTCATTTCTTAGTACCGTGAGGCCTCAGTTCTGTCTTAAGTATTAGTGGGCTATCAGATTTTCCCTATCTCATGACAATAAAATCAGTAACTTAATTTAAGCTCATACTATTTCTGCCTTAATCTATTAAAGATACTCTTGAGAAAAATTCCATTGTGCTATTTCCAAACTATAATTCTGTAAAATGTGTCCTCTAAAGCTCCCCTAGAGCATATAGAAGTGTAAAACAAGCAAGCATTTAGCATTTTCCCCAAACTACACTTCAAAGAAAACTGAGGCAGAGATCTCTCAAACTACTTTGAGTCCTCACTTCAGAATCCACTTAAAAAGCTAGTAACTTCCGAAGTTTCAACGAAAAAATTCAAGCAAGCAAACAAACAAAAAAATGCATGCAAATAAATAATGAACAGTTTTCTCCAATTTCCCCAGAAGCAACAAAAGGCTTCATAAGACCAAGGTAATAAAAGACAAAGACCTCCCCCTACCTTCAGATGGTAAAAGAAATGCACTTATTTTCCTTGATGGTTTTATATGCCTACAGTTCTAGGGGAAGGACAAAAATTATAAGCCATCAGTTGGTTTTTATGAGAGATGTAGACTTGGGGAAAAAATAAGCACTGTGCCCATCAGAAAATGTTCCTAAGATTCTCGTAAGTGTTTGAATCTTTGAGGATCACAATGTACCTCAGCCACCCACAAAGAAGGCCTGCGCGTCGTCCCAGCACTGCACTCTAACTTACTGCAGAACAGTTTGGTTCATGTCAAGGTTGAGCTCTGTTAGTCATTCCCCATAAATGTACAACATATTACAATCTCTTAATGGAATACCATTCACAAAGAACTGGAGAACCAGCTCATAAGTTAAAAGTGAAAGATTTAACAAAACAAAAACAAAACAAAACAAAAAAAAGGGACAAAAGAAAAAGAAATGAAATTAAAGCAAAACAATAAAAACAGAGACAGGGCGTCCATCTTCTGCGGTTCAGACTCCGATCTCATTTCCCCAATGAAGGTTTCACTTGGCGGCAGGTTTAGTGGCATGGCAAACAATGCCTAACTCAGGCAAGTGTAACAGGTCTGCCTTGGCCAGTCTAGTCATCTAATAATGCACACATATCACATAGAGAAAACATACAAAACCAAATTAATAGTCAAAATCCATCTACCAGAAAATGTGGACATAAAGTTATGACTGACGATTAGGCTCACACCTGTTACGTTGATCTTACTTTTTCTAAATGTTAACATTTATAAAAAGAAATCTGAAATGCACGTAACAACAACAAGGTCATATTTAGACAAGTATAATGAAGGTATTATTTTATTCAAAACGGCACATTTTATCAACAGTAGTTCCTGCTCAATGAGTATCAATACCACTTTCCACCCACTTCTCACATTACTGTCTGAACTAAAACCCAGCAAACTGAAAAATCTGGTAAAATGTTTTCTATGGCCTTTCTTATCTACACCACAATGCTGATTCTATGGCGTTGAAGCATGCAATGAGTCACATGTCCAGTCACGTGTCCAGGGCATACACAGCCCTGTGCACCTCTCTCAGAGCTTCCTCCCTTTGTTTGCTTCTCTCACTCTCCTCTCTCTCTTTAATATAACAATGCATTACTTCTTTGCTGGAAGTGTATAATCAGACTTAACAGCTGTAAAAGTTATAAGCTATATTTGAAAAACCTAATTTAAAAATGTATATCAGTTTCTTCCTGATATCTTATTAAAATACCTTAAGATATTTTATTAAGGTACAGATAAAAAATGCAGTAATTTTTAGATTTGCATGTCCAAAAATGGTAACATTTTCTTGCAAAATGGTAGCATTAAAAATGCTTAAAGTTAGCTGACTGTTTTAATCAACCAAGCAGAACAAACTAAAATAGAGACTCCCATATTCCATAACCTTGAAAGTTACTTAAAAATTAGTTTCTCTGATTGTATAGGATTACAGCAAGGTTCTAACAATGATTTAAAATTCTTCCTCCAAAACGAGTAATGATAAAAGCCTTTGCTATATACTTTTCTGGTATTTCTAGTTTAAGATTTTTTATTGTGCATTTTCATAGAGTGGACTTTTGCAGAATTAAAACATCTTCCTCTCTCACCTTACTCCCCAACTTCAGGGCTCACTGTGTTCTTAAGATCAGATAAGAATATATTTGTCAAATAATTTACTTTTAACCATGTTTATCTTCCCTATCTACTCTAACCCCTTAAACATGAAAAATATGCTTTCAAATTTATCTGGGCGGGGGGTGGGGGGCGGAAAGAAACCAGATCTTCCTGTTCTGAGACTTCTAAATTATCATTCTGGGAGGGCCTGTATCTTATAATGCTCGTAACATTCCAAAACAGGCATTCTGAAACAATAAAACTCCCAAAGTGCACCAAACTCCAGATGAACTAATGATTTTTAATGTAAACCTAGTAACTACAGGTTTTTAAAATTACATATTAAAATCTCATTAAATTGTTTCTAGCATACTTTTATGCTATAAAATAGTTACTATCATCTAGCAAAAAAAAAAATTAAAATGTATGTATATATGCCAGTCAGTACTCTAGGTTAATTGTACATTAAAACTGTCAAAATCAATAGCCAATTATATATAAATGACTCTGGAAAAACAAAATTTTTAATAATAATTAGTTCTTAAAGCAATTCAAGATGTAAAACGTAACAACTAACTAGAAGGCCTTGGGCCTTGCTCCCGTCCCTGACGTCACTCCCTGACGGAGGCTTTACAGAATGCTTTCCAGTTACCCTGCCCAGTAAAAGCCAGTCAAAGAAAAAAGTTCCAGGTATATAACAAAAATCACACTGAACATGAAACAATAGTCTGGTTCATAACAACTGAGAGAAACTACCTTAAGAGGATATTTGAAAGAATAAACTGAGTATTTTTCAAATGAATATAATATCACAACCCCAACTTGACTGAATGTATGGTTTACTTGAAAAGTTCGTAACTGTGCTCCCATGAGTATATGCTTACATATACATTTAAAATGATTTTTCATACCAACGTAAGTTTTTAAATTCTAAAAAGCTCTTTTTTTACAATCTGCAAATTGGCTACAGAAAAGCCAAAACTAACTATAAAAGGCAAGCATTTGATAAATTTTCTAAATGTTCAGTTGTAAAATCTCAAATATCCGTAAGTAATAAACTAACCACTTCAGTATAATTTTCTACAGATTTTTTTCTTCTTCAAATTTCATTCTTGTTTCACACACACAAACGTGAGTGTGCACAGACTCACACATAGAGTACTGGCCAATTTCCAGGAAAGCTAAAGGCTATATATAGTAACAGACAGGACAGATATTAAAACAATAAGAAAAAAAAACATAAGATACCAACCTTCTGCACAAGGAACTACTATCAGAGCTCTGTCAATAAAAACCGTGTTAGTTAGATGCTGGGCCACACCAACACTTGATGGGTCACGAAACTTAATATAACATACTTTGGAGGAAAAGGCAAGAGGTGTATTGCTGCAAAAGAAAAAGAAAACAAATGGGTTAATAAACATCTGCATGGTTTTATAATTTTCATTTGAAATTTCTTTCTTACATCAGACTTAGGTAATCTTTGTTGCTAAAAACGACTAACATGTGAAATAACATATTTTAGTCGTTTAACACTGACTTATCTGACAAAAGCAGAGGTCACTCTAGAGGTGCCTATAAATCAGTCAGCCCTAAAACGAAATTTCAAACAGCTAATGTTATCAGTCAAAATCACTTTACAGAATTTCCCATCCTCAAGACTTCAAACTGTAGCCTCCCCCACCCCTCATTCCTCAACATTTCCATTACTAAAACTGTGGTAAACCCACAGCTAGTACAGCATA